AATAAATAAACATTGAAAAAAAAAAATAAAAAAAAAAATTATGGTGCTTTAAAGCTGTTCGGTGGGTTCATCGTGACTGCGTGATCCAGAGGGAAGGATAGCGTCCGTGGAGGAAGGGTTGGGAGGGGAGCCAGACTGATCTTTGGGAGACGTGCAGATGATTTTATCAGTGCTTCCCGCGAGAGACCATGAAAGCTTGAAGTGACAGTGGTTCAAGGAGGGAAAATGGAGTTGTGGGTGGGTGGTGATTGTGAGGTCAGGGTTCGGAATCGATGGGCCACATACAGAATAACTACAGGATCAAAACCACACAGAGGTACTTTACAGCTGCTGGGATGGCTGGAATCAGAAAGGCAGATGAGAAACCAGTGTCAGTGAGGACAGCGAGAATTTCAAGCCTCGTGTACTCCTGGCGAGAACGCGAAGGGCAGCCGCTTTGGAAAACAGACTAGTCTGGTGTTCCCCAGAAGGTTCAACGTGGTCACCTCGTTCGTGGCCGTGGGATTCCTTCCTGGATATAGAACCAAGAACGGTGGGAGTATGTCCACGAGACACTGAGGCTTGAGTGTTCATGGCGGCATTGTTCATTAAGGGCAGAAAGTGGAAGCAGCCCAATGTCTATCGGTCGACGAGGACAAAAGCAGTATGTAACATGTCCACGTTGTGGGATGACGCACCGGCTCGTGCTGCAACACGGAGGAACCTTAGAAACACTGAGTGAACGAAGCCCGTCACAGAAGGCCACAGAGTGCATGATTCCATTTACGCCGGACTGTCTCTCATCTAGAGAGAGAGAGACGGCTAGGGTAGGGGTTGCAGCGGGCTCGGGGGAAGGATGGGAGGGAATGGGGAGTGATTGCTGGTGAGCGTGCGGTTTCTTTCTGGGGTGATGGTCGTACAACTTTGTAAACACGCTGGAGGCTGTTAGGTTGTGCACCTCAGCTGTGTGAATTCTAGCTCCATAACGCTGTTCTAAGCGTTATTCTGAGGTAAAAATTAGCTTCGTGTGGCTTAGATGCATCCCGTTTGGATTGGTTTTTCTTGAGATCTACTTGCCGTACCCACCTAGAGGGTCGGGTGAAAGTGGCCCATCCAAAGCTCAGCAGGGAGTGTAGGGCCTTGGAAGTTATCGGCATTGAGATGATAGTAACGCCGTGACATTACCTTGTCTTGCATGGAGTTATCCGTCAGTTACAAATCAGTAAAGCGTGGGGACAAAGGTGAGGGGTGACATTGCGGTGTAAAGAATGGGTTAATGTCCCCACGGAAAAAGGTGGCACGTGCTGGAGAGTGGGATGGCATCAGAAGTCGGGCTAAGGGAGGCTGGAGGGGGAGAGAACAGTTCACGAGCCTGTGGCAAAAAGTGTGTCACGGAGGCCGAAGTGGGGAGAACGTGTCCGTAGTCGTGGCCCAGCATGGGTGACTTTGAAAGCATCCAGGAGAATGTCGTTCTGGTCACCTGGTGAGCAGCCATGGCATCCTGATAAGGGGCAGAAGCCTGCCTCTCCGGTGAGGGGATGAGACAGAGAGAGAGAGGGAGGAAAGGAGGGAGGGGGAGGGAGGGGGGGAGGGCTAGGGTCAAGCAGGTTTGCTCATTCCAGATGCACGGCTTTAAGGGACGGGGTGGCTGGGAGGGTGCACGTGGCTGGGGCTCAAGTAGTGGCTTTGTGTGGAGAGTTGATTTAGAAAAAGGCGGACCAAAACTCCAAATGGACGAAAAGTTTCGAGTGGCTGGGGCTTGTAAACGAAGCCTCTGCCAGTGAGAGCGACGAGGTGAGGTCGTCATTGGGTCTTGAAGGAAGAGGGCAAAGTAGCGGCACAGCTTGGCGTGGGGAGAATGAAGCAGTTTGGCCGAAGAAACTAGGTGGGTAAAGGGTCAGAGGGGTCATTGCACTGGAGGAGACGTGTATTTTCTGCACGTGGAAAAACTTCACCCCCAGGATCATCTAGAAAAACCGAGCTGTATTTCTCCTGTATTTCACATTTTAAAATGTAATTTGGTAATAGGTATGAAGCCTAAAATCTTTTCATTAAGAAAAAAAAAATTAGACTATTGTTAAAATGAAGTGACCCAAGTTTAAAAATGTAAAGGTGCTAGATCGTAACGGTAATCTTCAAAAGAAGGAAGATGATTAAATTGATTGTCACTGATAGAGTTTTATAGAGGCATTTAATACTCTGTGTTCGAAGACAGTGACTTGGAAAAAAATTCTTATTTGGGGAGCCCTGACTGTAGAAAAGCCCCCAGACAAGGTGTGAAAGCCCCGGCCTGGCCCGGCACGCACCCATGGTCACGGCCGCATTCCAGACACGTTTGTCCGAGTGTGGCAGTGTGAGGGCCCCGAGTTTGTAACAACATGGGAAGTGCTTCCCAAGGTAGGAGGTGGAACGTAAGCTTTAAAATCATACCCATCACACGTTTCTTAGACTTTAGGCAGGAAGTTAGGAATGAAAGAGATCTACATGTTGCCGTTGGTTACTTACGGGATTTGGAAATTTAGTTGAAAAACTTGTTATGCCAAGAATTCTTATATTTTTCTGTGATTTCCAGCATTTTCCCAGTAAGATTTTATTTTATTTTATGTTATGTTATGTTATGTTATGTTATGTTATGTTATGTTATTTTATTTTAATTTTTCAGTGGAGAAAATTACTCTGTAAAACATGAGTGATGATTTTGGTAGGTTTACCAATGAGTGTTTGTGTGATCTGAGTGAGCTGGTGGGTTAGAACTTCACCTTTGTGTTGGTCGGGAATTACTCTGTGACTTGCATTTTAAATCTCAGTTTCATAGAAAAGATGGCATCATGACTGTCATTTTATATCGATGAATTTTCACTGGTGATAGGACATGTTCTTTTGCGAATCCGAGTTCACTCCTTTCCTTGACGGTGGGATTTTGCCTTTATGTGATTTAAAAAGTATACTATGAGGTTCGTAGGAATGTCTCTGGATGTTTGACTGTCACCAATTTCAATCAGGAAGTTAGTGGGGAAACTAGGAAATTATACAGACTCGCTTCTGGTATTTTAATCGTATACTTTATACAAAAAAAGAACAGATTGATGGTATTTACTGCATATAAATGCTGGACACCACCTATGTGCCAGGTATCTTGACGTTTTGCTTCTGTTTCTGTTGTTTTGTCAAATGGATCCTATTTGGTAAAAATCTGTGGTCTTCCTAACAAGTTAGCGCGTTCCATTTTGGAAATCGTCTGTATGTGTCCAGCGTTTATAGCGGACTGTGGGGGTCCGGGTCAGTCCTATAATCGGTCTTTATGTGTAACCACGTTGTTTTAAATACCTTAAACAGGATTCTTACTGTCTAATTTTGCAGTTGATAAAAATGGTGATGTATGCATCTCCATTCTTCATGAGCCCGGTGAGGACAAATACGGGTACGAAAAGCCAGAGGAACGCTGGCTCCCTATTCACACTGTGGAAACCATCATGATTAGTGTCATTTCTATGCTGGCAGACCCGAACGGAGACTCCCCTGCTAACGTGGATGCTGCGGTAAGGTGGTCACGCACACACCTCCCTCCCTGTTCATTAAACTCGATCACAACCGCCGCCTGCGTGTGTGTGTGTGTCTCTACACTCTGTTCACGTACATTTATTTTTCTCCTGAATCTGTACAAAACTAAGTTACAGATACAGCTAAGTTTTACCTCTTACGTACTTGAACCTGCATCTCTTAAGAATAAGGATACTGTCTTACTTGGCTGTAATATTACTGTCATACTTAAGAAAATTTAATATCAAGTCCCTACTAAAGTCTATGTTATTATTCCTGCGCTTTTATTTTTAAATTTTTCAGATCTACAAAAGTTGCATTAGTTAAGTAAACACTCTTTGCCTGGATTCACCAGTTGTGGAGATTTTACAGCATTTTTTTTCCTGAACTGTTTGGGACACTTTACAGATGCCCTAACTCTCCACGCATAGGCCCTTCAGTGGCGTCCCCTGAGAATTCAGGGTGCTTTCTCGCAAGCACAGCACAGGTGTCTTCATCGATAAGGACTGTTGGATGCGTACGCAGCTCATACGCACGGTTCCTAACATGGTTCTTTATACCTGCTCTTTTTTCTTTTTTTTTTTTAAATCTGGGAGACCACATTTTATTTTGTGTTCATGTTTTTATTAGTCTCCTAGAATAGTCTAGTTCCTCAGCCTTCTGCTGTCCTTGGGAAAGCCTTTGGTTCTAATTTTTGTTCTTGGAACTGTTGTTAGTATGTATTGAAGCCAGGAGATTAAATTCACCTTTTTTCTTGGGTTACTTCAAACCTATAGAAAAACTTGGGCAAGGTAGTAGCATATGCAGGGAGACACCACGTCCATAAGCCCTTTCAAATGTATGGCTTTGACTTTTTGAATTTAGTAACCAAATTGAAGTAAAAACTGGCAGAAAACTGTCCTGGCCTTTTTTTTTTTTTTTTTTTAAGTTTATATTTGAAGACACCGTGTGAGCAGGGGAGGGGCAGAGAGAATCCCAAGCAGGTTCCACATTCAGTGCAGAGTACGACACGGGGCTCAAACTCACAAACCGTGAGATCATGACCTGAGCCAAAATCAAGAGTCTGATGCTAACTGACTGAGCCACTCGTGTACCCCCGTCTCAGCCTTTTCTGTAGCCAAGTTTCAGTCTGAGCGGTGCAGGAGATGGTGAGGGAGAAGGGAGAGCTGTGTTTTTAAAAAATCCCGTGGTGGGGCGCCTGGGTGGCGCAGTCGGTTAAGCGTCCGACTTCAGCCAGGTCACGATCTCGCGGTCCGTGAGTTCGAGCCCCGCGTCAGGCTCTGGGCTGATGGCTCAGAGCCTGGAGCCTGTTTCCGATTCTGTGTCTCCCTCTCTCTCTGCCCCTCGCCCGTTCATGCTCTGTCTCTCTCTGTCCCAAAAATAAATAAACGTTGAAAAAAAAAAAAAATCCCGTGGAATCATTTTGAGAGGGAATTGATTCATGCTCAGCTGTAACTCTTTTGAATAAAATGAGAACTGACAAATTTTATTTTAATCTTCATAAAGATAAAATTGATAATTAAGAGCAAATACCTGAAAGTACGAATATGCAAACGTTAGTAACCCTTCAAAGCAGCTGCGTCCTGAAACTGGGGGACCTACTGAGGAAGGAGAGTCATCGCCTCGAAGCCAGTGTGACTGTCAGGGTGGAAGCAGGCCTTCCCCCCAGGGCTCCGTACGCCAGTGTGACCTCTGATCTGAGCCCCACAGGTCGTGTGCCATCTGTCCCGTTAACGTCTTGAAAGCCACGGCTTCTTTTTATGATTTAAGCAGTTGGTCGTCTTGTATCTAAACCAGAACTTTCTCGTCCACATGTTCAGGCAAACTTTCGTATTTGCTTTGCCATTTTCATGTTTTTTGTTAGTTTGCTTCTCTGACCTCTCACTTGATGGTACCTGTTCCAGGAAAACCACACTTTTCTTGGAGACCCCTGTCCTGGACCCTCCACCTTTGGCTCCTGGATTAGGGGTGGGCTCAGACCGCTGCACGCAGCCTGCCTGCTCTTCTGGGCAGGATCATCTGTTTCTGCATCCTGTTCCTTTTTTCTTGCTTGACTCCTTCCTGTGGTGCTTCATCTGAGACTCATGTTTCAGAAAGGCTTTGTGAGAATTAACATCTGGTCCTTACCTGCCTGCGAGTGTTTTCGTCTGGGCCTTATTCGTAAGTGACAGTTTGTGGAGTTCTGGGGGACAAGTTCAGACTTCTACAGGATTTGTCTTTTATCATTTATTGTTGCTGACGAGGGAGTTGATGCGAGGCTGACTCTTCACCGCTTGCGGGTGACCTTTCCTTTCTTTTTCTCCCTGTTCCTTTAGGTTTTTTTTCTGATTCTTGGTGTTTAAAGTATCACCTTGTTGTGTAAGGTGTAAGATTTTCTGTTTCTGTACAGTTGTCCCCCTTGTCGGTGAGAGGTACGTTCCAAGACCCCCGGCGGATGCCTGAAACCAGGGATAAGTACTGAACCCTTATATACATTATTTTTTTGTCCTATATACATACACACACGATAAAGTTTGATTTACGAATTAGGCTCAGTGAGAGACCTACAGTGGTTGCTGATGATAAAGTAGGGCAGTTATAAAAAGTCATGTGACTGTGGGCTCTCCCGTGTCTCAGTGGCCCGTACCTGCCCTCCTCGTGAGGACGGGAGGGGTGTGACGCGGTCGGAGGCTTCTCCTCTTGACCCTGTGATGTCACGACAGAGGGGGGGCCATCTGCGCCGCGACGGACGCGGTCGCCTGTGGCGGAGGGGCTCCCGTGGTCGATTTGCGCTTGTAGGATGTCAGTTCTGGGAAGGTTCCCATTTTCACCACGTTGAGAACTTCCCTGCGTATCGCACCCCTTCCGCTTTTTAATTAATTCTTCATTTGAGTGCAGCCGAGCCACAAAGTACACTCCTTCCCTGTTTGGGCTTGCGGCTGCCGCCTTCGTCGGTCCTTGTTTCGTCCGGGTGCCTGTGGATGGCGACTTCTGCCGCCTCCGTCCTCACTGTGGCGGTGTCGCTGTTTAATGAACTAACAGTTGTTCGGTCTTGGGCGAGTTCTAATTAGAAGTGTGTGTAAAGTTAAATTCTGAAGTCTCTTTCTCGGAGGCCCATGTTTTCTCTTGTGTTTCTGCTGCATCTGGGAGCCCGGGCTCTGGTGGGACCGGCAGTGTGCGGGTCTGCGGGCACCGGCCTGACCCCGACCTCGAACGTGAAGAGGCCGTTACTTTCAGTCCTGGTACCCACGCGAGGGGCCCTGATTCTAGCACGTAAAGCGTAGGTATCGCAGTTGGCCGTATTTCAGGAGAGTATTAGCATTCTGGGTATAGTGGGAGGAAGATGCCACATCTCTGTTTTCATCCCGTGTCTTAACGCCTCTTCTCGGGCCGGACGTGTCTAACCTGTGCCCTCTGTTCAGTCGGCCCTGCCCCTCCTCTCTCTGCTCTGGTTGCAGGGAGACTTCTCGGGGCTGTGCTTTCTCTCTGCGGCACGTTTCTTGCTCTGCCGCGTACTTCTGGTCTTCCAGAAAAAGTTCCCACCCACGTGGATGACTCTCTTGCCATTTCTTTGACGTGGAGAGTCTGTGCCTCACACAGATTCCAGTCTGATCGTTTCAGGAGGGTGTCAGGACAGGAAAGGCATGGGCACTGTGCCCCCTGCTCTGGTGGATGCACGGGCTCTCCGTGAGTAGAACGCAGAGAGGACACAGGTGACCTGTGTGCTCGTCCTGAGCGTGGCCGGGGTAGCTTCCGCAGTGGCTTGGGGCCCGTCACGCACCAGCCCGTCCTCTGGCGGGAAGCCACCCTCATGCAGTTGTGTGTCACCGTAGTGTCTCCGGGCCTTTCCACCTGGGACCTCCTCACCCAGGCCCCCTACCCCCAGCCTCCATTCTCTCAGCTCCCTGCTCTTTGGAGGAGATTCTTGTTCCTTGAGCCTGAACTTCCTCTTGCCTGGAATTGCTCTTTTCTATCTTTTACTTAAAACTTGATGCCGAAGCGTTTACAGGTTTTGTGACATTTTATCCACAAGAACTTCAGACACATCCAGGTCTCTACACGTCTGTGTGTGGTTTGTCACCTAAGTTATTCTAATAACTGGCTTCCTGAGGAGGGCAGAAATTTCAACTCTCCTCTGTGAGGAGGGCAAGGGTTGAAGATTTCTCGTCTTTGCCGTGACTAAAGGCTGGGCATTTTGGTGAGAATTTTCTGCTATTTACATGCTAGATAAAAGCAGCTCAATTTTCACGTGAGACCCTGCTGGTGCCACTTGTGTCTCATTGTCACCCCCCTCCCCCGCCTCCCCCTCTCCCCCCCCTAGCGTGCAGCGCCCCGCTCCTCTACCTGGGGCGGAACCTTCCGGGGGCGGCAGGCAGCCTTCCCAGTGCTTCCCGCGCCCGAGTAGCTTGCCTGTAGGTCGCAGCTGCCTGTCCCAGTGGACAAACCGGTCCTGTCCTCCCGGGATGTCTCCTTCCTCCAGGAGACCTGCCTGTGAGGTGACTGACGGAGGGAGTGCCTGGCGCGAGTGGTTTCTGACGATTCTTCTGCCTTATCAGCTTTTTAACATCTTAAAGGTGTACACGTTGCCAAAGTGTTGCATTCAAGATGAAAACTCGCATTTGAGATAAGAAGAACTTGCTGGCGTTAAGTCACTAAATGCTACTTTGTGTCTATAGAAAGAATGGAGGGAAGACAGAAATGGAGAATTCAAAAGGAAAGTTGCCCGCTGTGTAAGAAAAAGCCAAGAGACTGCTTTTGAGTGACATTTATTCAACAGCTGTGACTTCACTTACTTCAGGGTAAGTTCATCGTAAAATCCTACTCCCCTGTTGCTTTGTCACAAATGGCACATACGCTGTTGGAAATTGTGTGGTTTGGGAATTTGAGTCGCCCGTTGTCATTGGCTTCGTGTTCAGTGGGGAGCCCTGTGGTCAGAGACCGTGTAGCCCGCTTGGGCTTTGCTTCAGCAGGCCCCGCTGTTTTCTAGATGCTCTGTGTTAGCTCTTTCTTTCTTTCCACTGGTGGTGCGTATGTGCTGCGGGTCCTTTCTTCCATCCTGACCACTGCTGGGCCCTGAGGTTTGTGTATCTTAAAGGATGACTGAAGTGTTCATGTCTTAATTTTTTTTTTTTTTTT